CAAACTTCACTCTCTGACCTTCTTCAGCAGTCGTCCAATCAGCCTCAGCTTCGTCATTTACCACCGAGCAGTCTGAGAAAACATCTGCAGGTACATCTGCCTACTGGTTCAAGAGATGGAACTTTTGTATAATCAGAGTTCATATTTTATGTCCTGAGCACAGTTATGAGTTTGTTGTACGAATGTCACCATCCAGTCAAACATGCACATGGTGTTCTCCATCACAAACACAAGAAAAAGCAGATTACAACATAAATGTTGTCACAAAATATTTTACAAAAATATCTTACATGATCTACTCTAAAGACTTAGTAACTCAAACTACAGCTGGTGTAACGACCAGAAAGAGTGAACAGTATTTATTCTGGTAGTCAAATATTTACATATGATGAACTCACTCCATTAACTTTCTATGAACTGTTTTTGCTGCAGAACCTTTTTTCTGCTCTTTTTTCTGGTTATTCGTGAAACTCTAGGCTTTTCCTTTGATGGTCATCAGTGGAACAACTTCACCTCTTTCTACCTTCAGTAATCACGAGTTGGAACTCATGTTTCCACATGCAGAGAAATGCTGGATGCTCGTTGCAGACACTCGTCCGTTAGTTTAGGATGATTCAGTGATTCACAAAGCAAACAGGGAGCCAATCATCAATCAGCAAATCAGACTGCAACATCGTTTTTCTGCTGTCACAGGTGTGCTGCTGCATGTGATCATCACCCCACTCATCATCATCATCATCATCATCGTCCTCTCATCACTGGCTGTTCTAATAATCTGCATTAAGAGGAAGAGCGACAGAGGTAAGACAACAAAGACACAGCAACAACAGAACTTTCCATTTATGATCAAACACTGAAACTAATTTTACGTCACTTGTCAAAGCTGCAGGGAAACATAAAAATATTCTCCCTGACTTGTTCTTTGTGACTCGTCTGCACGCTTTGGTTTGAGGACAGTGGAGAGACTGATGGACGTTCGGCTGCACTGAGGGCGATTTCAGGAGGACTGAGTCCTTCTCTGTTTCCGTTCTGACTGCTCAGTACTCTGATTGGCTTAGTGAGAGGTGGAGCATTCAGGAGGAAGGACGCGATTCACTGCTGTTAAATTATTGATTTAAATGCAAAGAAATATTAAGGGACCGCCCTTCATTTACTGGTGCAAAATGCTGTGGTACGGTTTTAACTGGTAAAAGTTAAGCTGGATATTACTCTGGTTCTGGCCTCCTTACACTGGCTTCCAGTTGAATTTAGGATCTAATTTTAAATCCCTTTACTGGTTTTTAAATCCTTACATGGTCTGGTGCCTGTATATTTGTCAGATCTGCTCGTTCTCTCCTCGTTCGCTCCAGTCAGCTGCTCAGCTGTTGCTCTCAGAGGAGACCGAGCGTTCTCCATCGTGGAACGAGAGCAGAATATTTCTCAGGCAGATCTGCTGAACTGACGTACAGCACTTTGGTCGAGCATGTGATGATTTTACAGTGCTATATAAATGAATTATGCTATTGTCCAATGATGTGAATAAACATGTTAGTAAGGCAAGTTTATTTATAGAGCACAATTCAACAACAAGGTGATGCAAAGTGCTTTACAGAGACATT